GTAGGGATGAGGACAAAGCCGGTCTCCTGTCTTACTTTTTTTTTATGGGATTTTATGACCTGGTAACTGAGACCTTTAAGTCATGTCTTATTTTAATTTATATTCATATTTTTATGAAAAGTGATATTATGAAGTGAAATGATATGAAGATGATTAATTTGAGACATTAATCAACTAGGATGAAATGAAATGAAATGAAATGAGATGAAATATAATCTCAGAAAATGGTGGTCATTTACTTTTTTTGAGTGGACTTTTTGGAGGATCCCGAGAAGTTACGTCCAGCGGCTTTGTTTCATTTTCCCACATTTGTGCACTTTCACAGATATTAAACAGTTAATAAACCACCATTATTACACATTTAAACCCGAAGAAACACTAAATAGACAAAATAAAACACATCACACAACTTCACTCCTCGCGTTCCCGCCAAAAAGTCCCTGTCTTACTTACTCACTATACATCATAGATTATACACTTAATATTATTATATTTGAGAGCTATACAATACTATACATTATTCAGCCATGTTTTTTTGGTTTTATTTGTGTATCAATAGTATGTTCAGTAGGTCTGAGAATCGGCTACTATCTATTTTTCATACCTAAGTGAAAAGGGTTGTCCGTCCACCCCAAACATTTATTTTTAAATTTAATTTTTTGAATATTTTTTTTTGTTTATAATGAAGTATTATGTGGTTAAATGAGGTTTTTTTTTCTACAGTAGAATTTCCCTAGCAATCTTATTTAAGGCAACACAACGTTTGCCGGGTCAGCTAGTCTAATATATAAAATTCTCGTGTCACAATATTCGTTCCCATACTCCTCCGAAACCACTTGACCGGTTCTCATGAAATTTTTTATGCATATTCAGTAAGCCTGAGAATCGGCTACTATCTATTTTTCATACCCCTAAGTGATTAGGGTTGTCCACCCCTAACATATTTTTATTTATTTGGACATTTTTTTTTGTTATAATGAGGTATTATGTGGTTGAATGAGGTTTTGTTATTTTTATTATATATTCCCTCATCGTTCACAGCACTACATACCTCTTTCACTCATTTACCACATCCTTACACACTTACAATAAGTTAGTTTTTTTTCTACACTAGAAATTCCCTAGAAATCTTATATATGGCAAAACAATGTTTGCCGGGTCAGCTAGTATATTATAAAGGCTTTAAAACGACAAGTTCTCAACATTATGTTTTTTACCTACTTGCTGTATTTTTTTCATAATAGTAAAGAGTTACTGATTGTTCTTGCCGAGCCACTGCTGCAACGTGTTTAGTAATCTAAATTTACCCAAATCTATAAATAATGCCATAACTTCGGGTGGCGAATATCGCTACATTTCTGGACGTATGCTGTTTTTAATAAATAATAGTTTAAAAAAAATAACAAAATACACTTTTATAAAAAATCCAACTAAAAAATAGAAAATAAATTTTAATAAAATATATTTGAGCTAAATATAGTGTAAGAAAAAAATATTTTATTGTAAAAAAAAGCGCGGGGTGCATGGTAGCAGTAGTTATAAATATTTTATGAACAGATATGAGTAGAAGGGTTATTTTGATAATATCCTGAAAAGCACCCCACGATTTTTTACAATAAAATCATTTTTTCTTACACTATTTTTTATTATGTTCAAAAAGCGTGGAAGCAACCTAATGAGCTTTCTCTTCTTTCATCCTGATTTTTTAACTTAAGTAAGTAATGAAAAACTTCAAAGCGAATCTGTATTTACATATCCTAATTATCCTGTCTATACCTCTATTTCTTTTAGCATACCATAATTAAAAAATATTTGTCGAAATAAGACGAATGTTTTTGTTTAACGCTATCGATTTGTCTTAAAAATAGTAAAGTGGCTTCATTTGGTTTAATATGAAGTGGCATTTTGTTAAAGCTCTAAAATACAACTGGCTTGACGCTGATCACAGTATTATCTAAATTACCGTTTCTAAATTTAGGAATATTATAAATATAAATACATCAAACACTAGCTGACCCGGCCGGGACTTCGTAGTGCCTCAATCGATAAATAAAAGACCTAAACTTTTGTATAAAATAAACTTAAAACAAACAAAAGGAATCCGTCCACCGGAGGACACATCAAAGAAAAAACAAAATGTTATTCTTATTTAATTCCGAGCATTTTCATTCTCTGGACTTTCACAAATAATTCAAGACCAAAATTAGCCATTCTCGAGTTTTAGCGAGATTAACGAAAAACAATTCATTTTTGTATAAATAATTATTGTCAAACTGAAACTCAAGATTCGTACTCGCAAAACTAGCTGGCCGGTGGTACGACCCATTGTGGTATGAATCCAGTAAACAGCAAAATAAAACACTTGCACTTAAACCTCGCGTTTGTTTTATTAATATTACTACTTCTCATGACCATAACCAAAGTTCTGCATTGGAAGTTATACATGATATCGAATCTAAAGCAACAAATAACTGTAACAGTCCCAAATGAACGCAATGCTTCCATTTATTGCCCACAACTCCCAGGAACTTGTGCGAAAGTTTTTTTTTTCAATCAATTCAGATGACCCACTTTATATTCAGATGGTTATTGAGTGTGGGGAAGTTTCCGGTGCGAGCCCGAATCCACTGCGGTGGGTACCGCGTGGTACTAAGTGGCATTCCACATTCAAGAGTATGGTTTTTTTTTACCGTAGGAAATTGGAGCCTTAGACTTTAGAATTTTGTTTGTTTGCAAGATTTAAGTCTCACTAATGTGATAGGGTATGGTGTTTTTTTTATCGTAGGAAATTGGAGCCTTAGACTTTAGAATCTTGTTTGTTTGCAAGATTTAAGTCTCACTAATGTGATTAAATTTTGTGTAACCAGTTAGATAAAGTAAAAGTCATGAAAATTTTACATCATTTTTGAAAACTAAATAATAACAGTTAATATAAAAAAATTACATACGTTCTAAATAAGTTGAGTCATAACAAATTTAGGTTTTCTATTATTCTAATCGGTGGACAAATAAAAAGATTCCTTAAGGTAATAATATCTATATCTATATATAAAAATGAATTGCTGTTCGTTAGTCTCGCTAAAACTCGAGAGTGGCTGGACCGATTTGGTTAATTTTGGTCTTGAATTATTTGTGGAAGTCCAGAGAAGGTTTAAAAGGTAGATAAAGATAAAAATGCTCGGAATTAAATAAAAGTAACAAATTTGTTTTTCCTTTGACGTCGGACAAAAGTATAAAAGTTTAGGTCTTTTATTTATCGATTGAGGCACTACGAAGTCTCCTGGGTCAGCTAGTATTATTATAAACATCGTTTGTATTAGTACAATTTCAGGCTTCATTGTGAATAGGTAGTTGCCTATTTAATTACAATTTATGATAATGCTGTTTTAATTGATGATGATGAAGTCGTTGTGGCCTTAAAGATAAGACCTGTTGAGTGATGCACCGGTGTTCGAATCTCAGGCGGATCAACACACAGGCAGGGAAAATATAAAAATATAGCAGGTATGCTATTGACAATACATTATTATATAAAATATTTACATACAATAAATAGATAGGTAATGTGAGACTACGTTTTATCATAAAAAACTATTACTTATTTTCTGTTAATAATGTTTCTATTAAAATAATGTATCTACTAGTGGTCTTGTGAGTCCGCACGGGTAAGTACCACCAACCGGCCAATTTCTGCCGTGAAGCAGTAATGCGCTTCGGTTTGAAGAGTGGGGCAGCCGTACTGTCAAAACGGAGACCTTAAAACTCATGTCCCGAAGTTGATGGTGGCATTTACGTTGTAGATGTCTTTGTTCTAATTCATGCAAAATTATGATTTATTCATTAATCTAATATTTAATTTTATTTATTTGACTTTTTTTTTTAATTCACTCAATTTTATTTATAAAGTTCATAAATAAAGCTTATTTGTCTTTTTTAAATTTACGGAACCCGTACTTAGGTGAAGGCCTCGCCCGAAAAAATCAATGATCCCTATTTTGGGTTTCTATTTTGGATGCTCATTAATGGTTTTATTAAGAAAAAAAAACTTGATATTACAAAGTATTTCAGTTGTGACCCCAAGCGTCACGTGTCAACGAATTGCTAATATTCCTAACGTAGCGTTTATTCTATTTCGGGAACGACAGAATAATATTGAAATAAATAGACGGTGAAATTGATATTTGCGTAAACACTTGTGGAAGGTTTCTGTGTTTGCTTTGCACGGGTCTTGCCTATTTTGGAGGTATCGAAATAGGTTTGGAGTTTTTTTTTTGCGTTATACATGGACGAACTCAGTAGACTTATCTAGAGAAAGTGAATCGGACTTGAGACATTAGGACGCAGTCTTGTATTGTAATATGGCTTTCAAACTCTTATAATCATTTGCCCTACGGCCTTTTACCTCAGTTTTTTTTTGAATAGTTGTTGCATAGCCGTTGTAGATTACAATTGAGATTTGGACCTCATGTGCCAGGGTGAAGGCATTAACATTGCCATGTCTATGGGCACCGGCAAGTACTTATCACAAGCTGTGGTCTTTCACCGACTTAAATAAAAAGGAAAAAATCTCCCCCCCCACCCCCCTCCATTTGCAGCAAATATTTCTGGACTGAGCGTTTTTTACTCAAATAACAACAAGGAGATTCAGAGGTCGTTTCAGGCATAACTTTTTATTAATACTTACATTCATGGTCGGTGTTAAAAGTTACGTAGCAATATTTCTTTCAGTAAGCGTACTATATTCTGTAAAATCTGTTTTAAAGCAAGCCGTTATCTTCGTAACAGCCACTTTCGTAATTAATGTGTTTACTTTTTTTTCTTTGCCATGAATGTTCTAGATTTTCTTAACACAAATCCGCAAATAATTATTTTTTGATCAAGATCAGCGTCACTTGCTTGGTACCGCAAGATTCTACTGTAATTAGATGTGCTCATTCAACTTTTTAGAAGTACAATCGAAGTTATAATTGAACTTCAAATTATTTTCAGAATACACAGTACTAGTTGATATCTAGAATCGCGCTCAACCTGTGTCATCATACCTTTTTAGTATTATCGCCAAACCAACTGTAAAATACGGAGATTGTTCTTTTGTTTCAACTCAATCAGATAAACGTTTTATCCTACTAGACAACTGGAGGCTAAAAGATTAGGAAAGAAAAGGAAATACCTCTAAGCAACTGATCTTTAGGATATTTGAAAAAGATTAGGTAGGATTTAGGATATTTGAGACGATGCGTTGGTTGGGGCAGTGTGCACTACATTATTGACCACAGGAAACCTCCTACTCTGATCGGGTTCTGACTCCGGACGGAGATCGGACGGCGGGTGTAAGAGTGCAGGGGAGTCATTTAGTGGGGTAGGGCCCTAAAACTCCTAGGGCCCACGGTCTGGTCCCAACATCAGCAGATCGTCACGGTCGGGCATCCTCGGGGTGGCGCCGCGAGTTAAGTTGTAGTGTTAATCGCGAGAACCCCTTTACCCTGACCTGGTTTTAACCCCGAGCGGAGATCGGACGTCGGGTGAGAGAATGTGATGAGTCGCTTGGTCTGGTAGGGCCTTAAAAGTATCCTTGGACCCACGATCTGCTTCCAATATGTACAGATCGTCGAGTCCCACAAACCCCACGTGCCCTGTAGACGCAGAAATCTCATAGTAGCCTTGACCCGTTGCGCGACAAAAAAAAAAACAAAAAAATGTGTGCACTAGATAACGTCATGTTCCGTGAGAGCTACCTATTTGACTGAATTTTCAAGTTGTCATGTCTTAAATTGGGTGACGGAGTTTGCAGCTTTCGGAGGCCGTTCACCAACAATAAATAAAAAAAAACAATCAATGGACCTTTACATGCCCGTGGTAGTGTATAGCTAGCTATAGGTATCACTTTCCTACTTAATTTTGACGAACAGCCGCTTTACTATACAATTGAAAATAGTGACCTCCATATTGACTCCGCTAATCAATTAAAAGCTTATGGACCGTGAGCTCTTTCATTTATTTGTTTACATAATAACCTTTTCTTTTTTTTCCTACCTATGCTGATAGCCTTGAGAGGCTATTTCAGCTTCACCCTAACGTGTAGGTGAGCTCACGGGGCTCAAACCGGAGCGGTGCTAACACTGGCCCTAGTAAGAGCAGTGTTTCGCAGAATCTACCACCGGATCGGAAACGCGACCCACGGAGAAAATCCGGTGAGAAACTCAGTGGGCTGTGTCTGTGGGTTAATTCGCTCGTCGAACCCTTTGTCGCAAGCGACGGGTTCGACGAGGACGGTGACCGGTGCTTGCGGTACCTAAAAGCACCGTTAATGGATCGGGAGGATCCGTAATGACGTGACAATAAAAATAAAACGACCCTAAACTAAGATTATCTCCTGCGTTATGGTTACCGATATGGCACGAAACAAAAACAAATAGGCATATGCAAAAGCTCGAATACTAAATATTTTTCATGAAAATGGAGATCGGATTAGGTCCCCGTAGCGCAAAGTCGTTGTTTTTTTTCCGTTATCCTTTTAAAGTATGGGTAGGATAAAAAGTTCGGTGCATTCGTATCGAGCGATGTAGCCGTGCTGGTGTTGAAAACCCCGCCGGCAGATACTAATTGTTCTAATGAAATATGCTACAAAAATGTAGCAAAAATAATAACTGTGGTAATTACTGGTGGTAGGATATCTTTTGAACCTAGGCGGTTCGCTACCCTACCTATTACCTGCGCGAAGCAGCAGTTGTACTATTAAACTTATTATACTTGGCACTCATGTTCCAAGGCGAGTAGCAGCATTTACGCTGTTGACATTCATGGGCTCCAGTAACCGTGTAACATCAGGTGGACCCCGACTCCTTTCCAAGATCATTCATTATTATTAAGCCTAAGGTTGAATTTCATAGAATCAGTATCCTATATTACAGTTTTAACATACACGGAATGGCAAATTGCTTATGATCTTGAAACTTGATCGCTAAATTTTCATAATGTCTCATATTTTATGGCTTAAAGTAGGATCGATGTCTTGTGTGCCATTAGTAATATGTTCCGAACTATTTCAATGGTTTAAATATGCTAATTACGGAATTTAATGGTTTTTGTTGGATATTGAGTTTGAAGGGCGGAACAGCCATTGTACGGTTAAAAGTGATACCTTAAAACTCATGTCTCATGGTGGGTGGTGGTATTTACGTTGTAGATCTCTATGGACTCCGGTATCCACTTGACAAGCCGTGAGCTCGTCCAAAAGTCTATGCCATAAATAAATAAAGAATACGCTAATGAAAAATTAAGCTGGATAAATGTCCGGTCACCGTCCTCGTCGAACCCATCGCTTGTGACCAAGGGTTCGACGAGCGAATTAACCCATAGACACAGCCCACTGAGTTCCTCGCCGAATCTTCTCAGTGGGCCTCGTTTCCGATCCGGTGGTAGATTCTGCGAAGCACTGCTCTTGCTAGGATCAGTGTTAGCAACACTCCGGTTTGAGCCCCGTGAGCTCACCTACACACGTTAGGGTGAAGCTGGAATAGCCTCTCAAGGCTATCAGCATAGGTAGGAAAAAAAAAACTGGATAAAAGAGACCCCGACTTAGTTGGAGTTCAGAGACATCATGATCTGAAAGCCACTACATAAAAACGAGGCATCGATTTTGCATTCCGTAATGTCTGTACGAAAATTAATTATTGTATCTTAGTTATATTGTATAAATTGCCGTTTGTGATGTCTTATTTGCATCTACGGACGGAATTTTGGCCAGAATTGGATTGAAGATATCTTGGCCTGTTCTATCCTAAGAGACCGGAATAATGGTCTTCAAGCTGTACCATATTATGATCGATCCATATTGGCTGGTAATATGTAATAGCAGTAAAATACTACAAAAGAGATTTTTCAAACGCGCCTTTAAATGCAACTAATGTTTCACTGCATTTGTTAACAAACTAATTTAGGGTTAACTGCTCCAATAGGTAAAGTCTTTCTTATTGGTTTGATTATATTGTAAAAAGTTCAAGATCAAAAATATCGTGATGTCTTGATCTTCGTTTGGGCCATCAAATGACAGTTTCTTCAACGCGTCCATCTTACCATGATCTTACATGATTTGTCATTGTTGATAAATGTCACTAATAGTTTAACAGTTGTATATCTGTGAGTCTACCACACATAATATCTTCTTGTTTAGACTGAAGTCAAATCCATTATTCACTTGTATAAACTAAGAGAGTTTGATAGCAGTGCAATGAACTCGGCTTTAAATCAATGGTGTCTGATATAATACAAGCGATGCGGCTCAAAGCGATAATAAAAATGATGGGTATGATTTTAAGGTAAAAGAATGAACCGTAAACTATTAAAATGAGATAGAAGACGGCAATAGTAATTATTTTGCATTTATTAAAACAAAATTTCACATTCACTTGACGTTCTAAATAATTAAACAATGGTTATCAAAAATATCTTTGGCCATCATGTCAAAAGCAAAACCAAGATGTATCATATAATATAGGATACTAAATAATACACATACAGATAACACATATTAATATTAAGCTTTTCATGAAAAATTCAAATCTCGAAAAGTATGCACCTGCGCCAAAGTTTTATGTAAAATATTTTTTACAGCATACATATTATTGTTACATCGGTAAGGCAAACAAACAAATCTGAAGGCTGATACGTTAATTCCCTCAAAAATGCTTCAAGGACTTCAAAAATGTATTCAGCATTTGGCGCTTCACAGAATTTCACTTAGCATTCACGTAAGACACAAACCCTTCATACCAACCGACCATTAATATCAACACGATTTCTAGGATTAGGATTATTGTTTATCGATCAGATATTGTATCAGTCTGAATAATAATTGTGCATCGAAGGGACACATAGGATAGTATTCCTTGCAGCCAAATATACCTCCCAATTGACCGCGGTGATAGGCCATTTGAAAATACTCTAGTGACTGTAAGTCTTCATCATGTGGTTTGAGCCTGAAAAGAGAGAAAAAGATACAGTTTAAAATTTGCTGTAAGCTTTTTTGAAGTGGCTTATTGCTTACTTTATCTTGAACAGTTAGAAGAAATCTCTATTATTGAGAGCGGTTTCAGAGAAGGGGATCTACTTTGACAGAAAAATAAAGGAGTACTTGGAAATAAATTTCTAAATATTGAACGGGAGAATTTTTGAATAAATAATAACTGATAGAATATAAATTACATACGATTTTTGGATGGTATTTTATTATTTGCCAAAGAACTAAAAACTATGCTACAACTACAATAGATTAAGATACCAAAAAGTTTATTTAAGTTTATTTGATGTCAACCAGCTTAATTTGTGTTAGGGTAGATTTTGAAATTGTTATTTACTTCAATTGTATTTATATTTCATAAGTTTTCTAAGTATGTTTTATACTTATTCTTAATTATGTGTAAATAATCAAAAATTATTATTAGACTATTGGTTGGTTATGCCCATATAGGAGATCGAAAAGGCTGGTTCAAGAATATCGCGTGTAGAAGAAAATTAGAGGAAGCGTTGGCGTGTCAATGGGTATATCTGAAAAACAAACTGTTTTGCTAAATATCTACTTGTAATTTTACGTTAGTTTATACTTTATTCACAATTATGCTATTTACATAAGCTAAGATAACTCATGGTCTGAAAATAAAGACTTTTCTATTTAGTGTTTTTTTTATATCTAGTGTTTTAATTATCGTTTTCTGTTTTATTCAACAAGAAACTCTGAAGTTTAACTTTTATTTATTGATCCACATAGAATTTTTAATTATGTCACTATGCACAGATTTTAGGTTTACTAGTTTCTTAGTTGATCTTGAAGCTGTATGATATAAGGAAAAGCTTCAATCTCATTCAACTTAATGAGCAGATTGTTCCGGTTTATTGAGATAATGCTGTATCTTGAAAATAAATTATGGATGTGCTGAAGAATTCGAGTTTAATCTGAGCAAATTTCTTGCCACTGTTTCATAATTTTATACCTTCAGAATAATTATGGTACCTCGAATATCCTCAAAGTTAGGACATTATGAATATCTATCTTGCTTCGTCAGCTATATATCAGCTTCCGGCAATATTTTTCCAAGAAACAGCAAAGTTTGTTTACGACTTTATAGACATTATATTACAAATTGTAGTTTAATAATTTCGTGTAATCGGATGCAGTAAAAGCATATACATAATTATTTGTACAAAACAATAGCTGACTTCGGTATCTCGGACACTCTTCTTCCAATACGATCTTGCTCCACTTTTTCAAAAAATTGAAAAAGTGGAGCAAGGTCGGCATATCAGTAGTTAAGACGTAGCTAAGGAACTGGGAATTGACCACAAAACAGTTTTGGCGCATTTGAAAAAAACGGGGTATAAAAAAAAAAACTCGATATTTGGGTACCTTACGAGCTCACTGAAAGAAACCTAATGAACCGTGTACTCATTTGTGATTCTTTATAACGATGCGCCACACACCTTGAGATATAAGTTCGAAGGTCTTAGTATAATTACAACGGCTGCCCCACCCTTCAAACCGAAACGCATTACCGCTTCACGGCAGAAATAGGCAGCGCGGTGGTACCTACTCGCGCGGACTCACAAGAGGTCCTACCTCCATAAGCTTTTTATGAATCTATCTATACAGCTGTCCACTATTGGACATAGGCCTCCTCCAAGACTCGCAACAACAACCCGTCCTGCGCTGCGGTCCTCCAGCGGATTCGCGACCCTCACTTAACATGTCCTCGACTCAACTTGTTGGAAGCCTACCCACGCTACGTATTCCGGTACGCGGTCGCCACTCGAGAGCTTTTCAGCCCCAACGGCGGAAATAATAAATTTCACTGAATAAGTTTTGTTAATTCTTATACTTTGTTCAACGACTCACGTGAGCATGTACACGAAGCCTCGCCCGACGCTATTGTTCGGCGGTCGCGCCCCAAGATCGCAATAAAGGTAGCGAGCGCATTGAATAGGATCGTGCTGTAGTATTCTGCGCCATCTTACACTGCCCCGCTAAAAATAATACATTATTATTTACAAAAGTGGCAATGGTTAAAACATTACAAACTTTTTATTTTTGGAACGAAGTTCCTTATGGGACAATGCGGAGGGGTCGGGAAAAAACATCCGTAACGTAAGATTTTTATTCTTTATGTCTTAGTATGATGGCTATATAGTGTCTAATGTATAGTCTACGTGATGACGGTTATTATTATATATATATATATATAAATGAAATGCTGTTCGTTAGTCTCGCTAAAACTCGAGAACGGCTGGACCGATTTGGCTAATTTTGGTCTTGAATTATTTGTGGAAGTCCAAAAAAGGTTTAAAAGCTAGATAAATATAAAAACGCTTGGAATTAAATAAAAATAACAATTTTGTTTTCCCTTTGTTGTGTAAACTTAAAACAAACAAAAGGAATCCGTACGGATTCCTTTTGTTTGTTTTAAGTTTATTTTATACAAAAATTTTGGTCTTTTATTTATCGATTGAGGCACTACGAAGTCTGCCGGGTCAGCTAGTTATTCATATAAATAGCTGTTTCTTTGTATATTAATATTATATATTTTTTATAAATCATTGTGTATAAAATAAAGTTGATAACCTTGTAAAGTAGATATTTTTTTTATCAAAAAAAGTCCTAATAAAAAATGTATACCCGAATAAATATTATCTTTATTCCTCGAATATAACTTAAAATTAATATTTTTATATTAAGGAACTTCGTTCCTATCCGGTGTCCAACGACACCACACATCTAGTGTTTTATTGCCGTATAGGCAGACGAGCGTAGGGCCCACCTGATGGTGAGTAGTTACCTACAGTTAAGTACTCTCCACAAGCCTCGTTTGAAAAGCAGATGTCATAGCGCTCGGGAAACACCGTGGAGGGGAGCTCATTCCAAAGCCGGATGGCACGTGGCAAAAAAGATCTCTGGAAACGCATTGTGGATGAACCCAGTGGCTCCAAGTAGTATAATAAATATAAATAAATAATAAATTTTTAATAACAATCACGCCACGTTAATTGGTCCCTTGCTAAGTTTGTAAAGAACTTGTGTAACAGGTACCAGATAATGGAAATAAATGTAAGATTTTTATTATACACGTACATATATTTAATATTTAATACACATCCATAACCCTGGTAAAGACATTTATATTTATCATACAAATATCTCTCTTGGCGGTATTCGAACCCGCGACCCCATTGTGTAGTGACCATGTCACTTACCACTACACAAGACGGCCGTATGGATGTACTCTACTCCGATGGCAGGCGGTGCGATGAAGCTAGAGCTTGAACTGCGACATAGAACAATGATCATAAATAAATAAAGGTAGCGTGTTGTAAGAACAAATCACACTTATCGTCGATAGGTACAAGATAAATTCCTTGAATACGTGAAGAAAACTTTCAAAAATACTAGTACTTTTGCGGTCAAAAATATGTAATAGTATAGGAATAAATATAGCGTGGATTATTTCACAACTAAATAAAATCTAATCAAAATTAATCTAATCAAATTAGTTCAAGTTTTATCTCTGATTTATTATCTAATAAAGTATAGTTTTTTCTTAATTTTGTTACCTAATTGAAATTATCCTCGACTTATATTATTTTTAATATTTTTCACTGTATTCTTATTTAATTATTCTTATAACTATTGAACCTTCGTTTAAACACGCTTTTTAGTGGTGGTAGGACCTCTTGTGAGTCCGTACGGGTAGGTATCACCACCCTGCCTATTTCTGCTGTGAAGCAGTAGGTAATGCGTTACGGTTTGAAGGGTGGGGCAGCCGTTGTAACTATAATGAGACCTTAGAACTAATATCTCAAGGTGGGTGGCGCATTTACGATATAGATGTCTAAGGGCTCCAGTAATCACTCAACACCAGGTGGGCTGTGAGCCTATCTACTCATCTAGGCGATAAAAAAAACCAATTTAGCTGACATTAAAATTTATCATGCCTGAAAGTGTGGTCCATTCACAGTGCGTTTATACTGCTTAGCCAACACAATAAACATGACATATCACTAGCTAAAACTTATAGCATTTCGCATATACGTATACTTATATATTTTTTTTTTTTATTGCTTAGATCTATGGACGAGCTCACAGTCCACCTGGTGTTAAGTGGTTACTGGAGCCCATAGACATCTGCAACGTAAATGCGCCACCCACCTCGAGATATAAGTTCTAAGATCTCAGTATAGTTACAACGGCTACTCCACCCTTCGAACTGAAACGCATTACTGCTTCACGGTGGAAATAGGCGGGGTGGTGGTACCTACCCGTGCGGACTCCCAAGAGGTCCTACCACCAGTGATTACGCAAATTATAATTTTGCGGGTTTCATTTTTATTACACGATGTTGTTCCTTCACCGTGGAAGTCAATCGTGAACATTTGTTGAGAACGTATTTCATTAGAAAAATTGGTACCCGCCTGCGGGATTCGAACACCGGTGCATCGCTACATACGAATGCACCGGACGTCTTATCCTTTAGGCCACAACGACTTGACATATATCTAGCTTTTTCATCGTAACAAGACCCTTAGAGAGAGAAAAAGAAAGAAATACAATTGGTGTATTTTACCGTTACGATCGCTTAATATCAAAAAAGCGCGTTGAATACGTTTATTTTTCTTGTAACCTTAAAAGAAGAGTGTCTATTCTCGTGTCGTTTAATGTCTTGTAATCGTGATGTAACTTAATTTAAGTTTAATGAAATTATCTCGGCTTCGTACTCGGTACCCGCACCAGCCTCTCACAGTTTTATTATTAGGCTTAAGATTTTGCGCACGCCAAACTCGAAATTAACAAGTAGGTTGTTAATAAGTAGAAGTTTGAAATTTCTTTTCCCTGCGCAAAGATTGTATATAATTTTTGAAAAGTCGAAAAGTACTTACTACAACTTAAATAGCATATTCATGAGCATGATAAGCAAGGGCCTCTGAAATAGATAAAGTTGTGATATAATGTTAAACATTGATTAATAGAGTACGTAAACTATTGTCGCAATTACCAGTATTCGGTGTTTTGAAAGCTCGTACCAGTGGAGATATTTATTCTGTCTATGTCACAAATCAATCACGTACTTCATTTTTAATCGTTCGATAATAGTTGTACCCTGAAATTTAAATCTCAATCTTATGACTAAAGGTGCACAGTGGCTTTCCGGCTATTATGGTCTCCGTTGATCTTATCTTATCATTTCGCTTAACGAAAGATGGACTGGGAGCCTTCCTACTAACTTATCAAAAAAAAAAATGCTGTCTCTTGCAAGTATAACTTATGCTAGTTACGTCGTGTACTAGGTAATAAGTTTTCTTAATTTTAATATTTAAGAATGTCATCTCTCTTTGTTTCGATAATTTAATCTATCTTAATATTATAAATACGAAAGTTTGCATGTTAGATATTTTTTTCTTAATCAAGCATCACTTAGTATAAAACTAACTCACTTTCTCTGTCTAATCTTTAAAACTACGCAACGGATTTTGATGCTGTTTTTTTAATAGATAGAATGATTGAAGAGGAAGGTTTATATGTATAATAACATCCATTAAATAGTGGAGAAATCAATAATAAATTACAGTTTCCGAAGCGAAGCGAGGGCGGGTCGCTAGTAAAATATAATTTACAACCTAAACTGACAATAAGGTATTTTTTATTTTAAATAACATGATCCGGACAAGACCAAGTATTATAGTGTGTTTGTTCACTGTTCCTTAATTCAGACTAGTGGATCTAAAAATCGACTGTTAATTTATGCACTAGTGAGTTATACAATCCCGGGATCCCAATTGTTTCTCCTGGGAAAACGTAAAGTATTTCATTCTTTCTGAGTTCCAATTTTAATGGCGGATGAAGGGGGGTCCTGGTGCAAATCTAATGAGCTATAAATTTTAAAGAATTATCTTAAGCAATTTCTCAAAGCTTTCCCTATGAAACAAATTGTACTATAAAAGCAGAGACAATAAAGACAAGTCTGCTATAGACTCCAGAAATTTCAAGATCGAGAAGTCAACTCCATTTTCAGTGAGGTTATTATTGAAAACCCGCTTACACAGACCCTATAACAATATTTTTTTGTCGCAAAAATTAAAATAGCAGAAAAAGTAGAAAAAAGACATTGACGTTGCGCTCAACCTCTTATCAGTAAAACGTATATTTGACTTTGTATAATGAAATAACAGATCTTTGAAATGAGTTACAAAAAAATAACTCTACAAAAATACGCTTTTAACGATAACATTACCTGGAACAAACTTGGTTAGTAATCTCGTTTTTATAAAGTGAGATTCTCCGAATTCCTTAGAATCGTGATGTGAATGATCTTTTAAATTTCAGCCTTTATAAAATCTCCGTAGGCAGGTAGGTAGGCAGGTAGTTTTTGACTTTCGTTTGATATCACAAACAGCATCTTTATACTTAAAGACAATGTATTTCTTTTAATTTGAATTTAGCGCTTGCACTGTTGGGGAAAGAGTCTGAGGGTAATGCGAAATGTTAATATAGCAGCGGAGATGCCTGAGATAAAAAAAAATGATATTGAGTGAAATAAAAAGTGTTGTTAAATTTCTGTCTACTTAGAATTGTGGGATTAAATTACAATAAAATAGACTACATAATATATAATATAATAAATGTCATATCTTTGCTGTTTGGTGGCGCTGGTCATGTTGCAATATGGGTCGGCTCTGGCTATTATTCAATACTAAACGAGTAATTAGCTAAAAAGTAGTCGACTACTATTATGCATTTTTATTAAAAACTAGCTAACCCGGTAGACTTCGTAGTGCGTCAATCGGTAAATAAAAGACCTAAACTTTTGTACAAAATAAACTTAAACAAAAGGAATCCGTCCGACGGGGGACACATCAAAGGAAAAACAAAATTGTAATTTTTATTTAATTCCGAGCATTTTCATATTTATCTACCTTTTAAACCTTCTCTGGACTTCCACAAATAATTCAAGATCAAAATTAGCCAAATCGGTCCAGCCGTTCTCGAGTTTTAGTGAGACTAACGAACAGCAATTCCTTATATATAGATTATATATCACTACATAGTATAAAACAAAGTCGCTTTCTCTGTCCATATATCCCTATGTATGCTTAAATCTTTAAAACTACGCAACGGATTTTGATGCGGTTTTTTTTAATAGGTAGAGTGATTAAGGAGGAATAGGAAGAGGAGGATGTATAATATATAATATCCATTAAATAGTGGAGAAATCAATAATAAATTACAGTTTCCGAAGCGAAGCGAGGGCGGGTCGCTAGTAATTTATAAATCTCACCAAGTGCTGCGACGATCGAAGGTCGCGTTTAAATAAAAACCGGAGCAGCTTCGGAGCAGCAGTCAAGGCCTGGTAATCCTGGACCAGTAAGTGTAAGGAGTACAACACTCCGACCAACAAAACGAGTAGAATAATCAACCTGAAAACGAACAAAGCATATTATGAGATAGGATCATTTCGTCTCTCTTAATAATACCATTGAGGATGAAAGCGGCAAGGAGGTCGCCCACAAACGTTGATTATTGATTCCCCTCTCATAAAAGTTAATTGAACGTTATATGATTTTGTTTTCTCATTGTAGTCATATTTTGTAATGATCTTATGAACAAATTGCAAATTTTGCACTGAAAGGTTTTTTTTATTTATTTTTTATAGCTTAGATGGATGGACGAGCTCACAGCCCACCTGGTGCTAAGTAGTTACTGGAGCCCATAGACATCTGCAATGCAAATGCGCCACCCACCTCGAGATATAAGTTCTAAGATCTCAGTATAGTTACAACGGCTACCCCACCCTTCGAACCGAAACGCATTACTGCTTCACGGCGGAAATAGGCGAGGTGGTGGTACCTACCCGTGCGGACTCTCAAGAGGTCCTACCACCAGTGTTCATACTTTTAAAGTACGATTATTATATATACCCTAAATGCTGGTGGTTATTGCGCATATCATTCTTTTAAATAAATGCGTACCTTTTATGTAACATATGTAAAAATATGGTTCGCGTGCAGCTTGGTGCACATGAAAGAAGTGAAACTTCTTTTGCGATGTATTGTGGTTTTGTTTATTTTTCATCCTTAAATCAAATTTATCTATTAGTAGGAAATGCTGTGTATAAGAGAAACGATCTAGCTTTCTTTGTCCATTTCCTCTCTCCACGATCGAGTCGTTCGCGAGACGCAGTGCCTATCTTTTCACTCTCGTACTTCCTAAATTGTATCTTTTCTGTCTAGCCGCAACGAAGCTGTCGCGAATTAAAATTGACTCTCAACGTGCCTCAGGAAGTTTAACTTCAATAACTTCTTCATTTAAAGGCTTACAGAGAAGAAGTGATGTCCTTAGATAACAAAGTTCGCAGAGACGATTAAAACAAATTTTACAATTTAATTACTCGTGTTAATTTTTATTATTTTAATATTTCCTATATTTCGAATACTTAACAGCTTTTGTAATCACGGACGACTGCTAAATATCATTTAATTTTCTATCAAAAAAATCTTGACATATGCCTTTGATTTCAATGTTATGTATTATATCTAGATAGAGAAACCGATCTACAGCAATATAAAAACTAGATTATTATAACCTTCTGCTATTTCATTAGATACTTGAACTAACATTGAAACTCCTAAAAAACTATTTAATAAAGCAAAAATCTTGTTTCAAAACAATTTCCCATTTAGCGAATCAATGACCACTCGACCCTTATTGAAGTTTCTAATCACTTTACCAATTTAGGCCTTTCATCTATTGTGACGTCAAACTTTACGTAAGTTTGATACTAACCCTTCTAATTGATTAAATTATTACGAAGCTACCTAAACAAGTTGTTAATTTATTTTTGAATTAGATCGAATGCTTTCAAACTGTAAAAAGTTAGGCAGTTTGTGTTGGTTCATGCCTAGGGTTCCGTAGTAACAGTAATATTGATATAATTCTAAACGAAATTGATGTGTAGCAGTATTTTTTGTTGAATGTCTGCAAGCAGCGTCATTATTCTCCTGCCCATATTCCCCATATTCCCAGTCATCTGGAGTCGGCGCAACATGTTTTCTTCTTCCATACTCCTCTATCATAATATACAGTTTCTTCGCTCACTCCCCTCTTACACATATCGTCTTTCACGACATCACACACAATGACTCCATGCAGTATGTGACCTAAAATAACTCGTAACAACTACGTAATAAGTCCCATAGCTATTTAATATTTTCAAATATATTTTTTTTAAATTCCAAGCTTCACATTCAACGTGGGACATTTTATCGGCCGATTGGAAAGTGAGAGACGCTATATTTTCACGCATTTAGAATCGTAAATTAGAGTCTTTGGAGTGGCAAACTTAATTATTTAGGTCGAAATCATTTTTCACAAAAACCGCGTTTGGTTTTTGTCTGTATATTTCAACTTCTGCTCTAACTTCAAGACTACAAAGCTTATAACAATTCATTAAATGAAACTATCTTTAAAATAGTTACATATGACTAATGCTTTATAAATCTACTCAAAATTGTGTAACGCTATTACTATTCGCACCACACACCCATGGTGCCAAAAGCCACCTAATAAAAAGTCGTTGTTATAATAATATACGGAAAACAAACATTTCGAACGATCGGCTTGCCATTTGACCAAAGAGAATATTGTTAGATGAGGGGTATAGCGTGGACTTCGGTTTCTACGTCACCACTACAAAATTATCGGAGGCTAAAGTGATTTCAAATAGGGCTGACGATAATAATATTACTATGTAGTTCACTTTTGAACATTGTAGACACACTATTTACGAATTAATTAATTTATTTAACACAGCGGTTTTACGTTATTCCAAATTTTGAAGGTTTTTTAAGGAATTTTATGACCTGGTAACTAAGGCCTTTTAGGTCATTTCTTATTTTAGTTTACATTCTTATTTTTACGAAAGATGACAATAAGAAGTGAAATGAAATGAAATGAGATGAGATGATATGAGACGAAATATAATCTCAGTAAAATGGTGGTCATTTACAGAGATTGACCCGGGGTTGTCCGTCAACCATTATTAAACTGATTATCCGGGCAATAATAACGTTTGAAAACCAAGATTGGTTCGTTACAATACGTTCAAACTTTCCGCTAAATTTCTCCATTTAAAACGTAAAGGTTTTGAAATTGTTTATCACCTGATTCTATGTACACACATACATATGTAAATTCGAAATTTAAATTTTGAAGTACCGAAATATGGTTCTGTCAATAGCACGTTGGAGTTCCACCAAAAAAAAAAAAAAAGAAAAAGCACAAAGTATTACATTTTATAAAACTATAGAACTGAGTGCGTAAAATCAAAAACATTAGAACTTTTCAGACCGCTATAAAAGTTAACGAAAAACAATTTAATAAAATTTTAATTGGAAAAGAGTCGATTTTGTCTCAATAAAAACTTTATTGTTAATCTGCCTTCTGAACATAAAAAGTTTGCGTGAAATCTATGCGTTCCTGTACTGGTTCTACTGGTTAGACAGTTACGATAAATAAAATGGCATGAAGGCGCTTCGTTCAAAAATATTGTCATCGCTCTCACAGTGAAGCACTATGTATCTTATTCATCTATATATTAATACGTGAAGCAAAAACTTTGTATCCCTTTTTACGAAAATTGCGTGGCCCAAGGAGTATGAAATTTTGCACACAAATAGAGAATATAGAGAAGAAGTGTATGTGTGATCTTAGTATGCTTTTTTTATTGCCCTTGTAGGCAAACGAGCATACGGCCCATCTGATGATGTGTGGTTACCGTCAGCAATGCCAGGGAAGAATCAAGCCACTGCCTACATAAATTAACAAAAAAAACTTTGAGCGAAAGTCGTGGATTCGTATAAAAATACTTTTACTTGCTACTATACATTTTCAAGTCAGAAGTCTGATTTGTTATAAAAACATAATTTCCACTTAATAGTTTAGACATTTAACGAGACTAAACCTCGCTGAGTTCAAAACAAAATTCACATTACAACATAGACAATAGGCTCCAAAAACATTTGACACACCCCCTCACCTGACTCCCATAATACGAACAGATGCACAACACCAACGATTACAAGAACACAAGACAAAATACCTGTACATTACATTCGGCACTGATTAAATTCAAAAATGACTTTTCGCTGGTACACTCGCCGCTGCAGCTACCAATATAATCCTGTTTAATGCAAAAGGTAGTCTAACACTGTGTTCTGGGAGGGACAGGTGGTTCATATAATCGGAACGTGCTCGGCGGGAAAGTGGTCGGCGCCGTAACGAGTTTGTTTAATTTTCACTAGAGATTATCTTGCAGATGGTACAGTTGAAAAACGCGTTTTTTTTAATATCATTTGCAATTTCGCTACTGTCATCTGTTATTCAATGTTGTTTAGGATCATCACTACTAAAAAGTATACATAGTAATGGTCGTCTCATTTATGATTCTGAGGTTTTCTCGATATTACAGCCTTTGGTGTTGTGGCGGAACTATAAGTCTCTCTGTATTCTCTGCTAATCTTTCGGTGTATGTTATCTATTTGAAGTGAAACTTCTTTAGGTTCATAAAGAGTAAAATTTAACTCGCTACAGATTCGTTATGGCTGGAGAGAAAAAATATAATTTAGGAAGAGCGAGAGTGAGAAAATAGACAGAGCGTCTCGCGAACCACTCGACCGCGGAGAGAGGGAGAGGACAAAGCGAAATAGGTCGTTTTTCTTATACACATTCTGTTTACGGGCATCAGCCACGGCTTGGCTTGTTATTAGTTTCTTATTTCTCCTGTAGATGGCAGTAATATATTAACTACGTTATATTTTATTTTTAATGACTATAAAAAAAAAGTGTTTTCTATAATATATAATTTAAAAAATATATAAATGCTCAAGAGGTCGTTTCTCTTATACACTGCATTCACGATTACAAGATAAACTTGTTTTAAGGATGAAAAATGAATAAAACCGTAATACTGCAAACCGCAAAAGAAGTTTCACTTCTTTCACGTTCACCAAGTTGCCCGCGCTCCTTTTTTTCATCTTTGGACCAACGCACCATAACTCAGCTACAGTACGTTTGCTTTCCTCGAAAATGATTTCGATTATCTACTTTGTTATTCTACTGATTGGTGATTTTTCATTTGCCGTAACCATGCAAGAACTTAACTGTGAGGTACTTTTTATTTTTTGCTTAGATGGGTGTATGAACTCACTGCCAGCCTGGTATTAAGTGGTTACTGGAGTCTATGATGTAATTGTTAAGTGTAGCTTACGTAGAATAGAAGGACTGAAGGTCTAGCGAACAAGGATATTGCTTTGATGGAAGATCTTCTCTTTATCGTCATCTCAAAAGTAAAAAAAACAAAAAAAAACTAGGCAGGTAGTATCTTCTTAAATACGTTTGGTATCTGTTTCAAGTCTACGAATACTAATCTATGAATACCTAGACTTGAACAATGCCCTATTCAGTAACAATGCAATTTATTAAGTAAATTGAATTGTCCATAATCGCGGCATCAAAGTTGCACCAACGTAACTACTAGGATCTGAAACTGTAATACAATTTACTTCATAGTATTGTATGAATATTTGGTAGTTTATAATCTACTATGAATATTTTTTTTTTAATTAGCATCACTTTTTAAGGTTATAAAAACAATGTTCTAATAAAAAAAGGTCTTTGACTATTATTTTGCGTCACCAACGTCAAAACAAAATGAAAATTTCAGCGCTTAGGTTGTTCTTTTTTTAAATTTGATTTTAGTACATGCAAATATGCACCCAATGGTGTATGATCAAGCTGTAACTTCAAATAAGTCTGCCAGTTTCGAAGCAGGTTTTATGGCACTCAGGATAGAAAGACGGATGGTAAAACGCAAAAATGAACTTTAGTAGCATCAACATAAGATAACTTTCAAGTTTTCAAACAATGATAAAAGCATACAAAAAGAGTTTATAAATGTGATCGCAGTCAATTATATATGCATTATTAAGGACAACTCAAAAACTCGTCACATTTTGACAATTAAATTGGGACTACATGCGAAAAATCGGATTTAAATAAATAAAAAGTCACAAAAATCGGTTCACCTAGAAAGAACACGCCATACTAAAAAAAAACAGTCGTATTGAGAACCTCTTCCTTTAGGGCGGTTAAAAAACCTATCAATTTTGAACCTGCAACATCTACAGCAAGAGGCGCGCGTGAGATGACCAGGCATAGAGCAATCCATGATGAATATACATCTCTGCATAGTGATTTTTGTGTCATCTGTTGTTTTTAAAAGTCGATTTTTCCTTTTAACTATATGACACGCGTATATCCGCTTTTTGCTTCGAAGAATTTCAACCGAGCACATAACCGAAACTAAAACTTCGTTTTAAAGCCGTCGCCTGCAACGCGATATCGGAAACTAAAAAGTTTTTCAATCTGCGTCTAAAGCAAAAGCAAGCTCACGTTTATAGAGTGAACACTTCAACTTTTAGATTCATGCATACGGTTTTGAAAATTTTTGTACATAAATAAATACATACATATTGTTTTGTACTATACTTATATTATCTTATTTTTTTGAAGTGAATCTTTTTATCGACGTAGGGTGGAAAAAACGTATGTAACGTTTTTCGGTTACGCGCCATCTTAATTTCTTCTGTTACGCGCCATTTTTATTTTATTTATATTTAGTTTGTTATCAACAGATGTCGCTGCACGTAAAATCAACAATTCCAGAATCGCGGTGACGAGATGTTACACAGTTGATAGACATTCTCGTATTTTTCTTGCTAAATCATTCCTACTTGGCGTCGGGATACCGTGATCATGCAGGCGGTTCCCCCGGGGTACGGCTGCTTCATTGCACTGCGGAGTGGTTGACCCTTGCGATTATTTCTATATTTTATAAGTCTCACTTCTACCGTGTGTGACTTGCACACACACACATTTTTTATTGCTTTTGTTGACAAACGAACGTATGGATCCATAGACATGGCCCACTGAGTTTCTCGCCGGATCTTCTCAGTGGGCCGCGTTTCCGATCCGGTGGTAGATCCTGCGAAGCATTACTCTTGCTAGGGCTAGTGTTAGCAAATTCTCTCAGATCGAGCCGGGAGTTCACCTACCCGTCCGCACGTTGTTGGGATAACCTCTTAAGCTACCAGCAAATAGGTAGGAAAAAAAAGAACGTATGGACTACCTGATGCTAGGTTGTAACAGGGGCTCATCAAGGCTAGTTATACCAGCGGCACATTACCCACTGCTGAGGACTGAAGTCTCGTTCAAAGAAGAACATGTTGTTACGCGCTAGGGTTTGGAATAAATAAAAATTCCACCAAAGTACCACTTAAAACTGTATTTGCATCTAGAACAGTTAAAGAACACTTTAAAAATTCTTAATTCACTTCTTCCGCTTTGCTTCAGGTGATCCGTTCGCTGTTTTGCTTCGAATAGTTCCGATTACTCACTGACTGTGTGCCATCTCTGCAACGCTTTTACAATCGATACGACATCCCTAGAATCGTCGAGAACATTCCTCACAAGTCGAATACCTTCGATGTGTGTTTCCGCTATCTGACAATAGATGGCGTTGTACATCTCGAGCGTTCTAGATGTTACTAGATCCTTCGATATTCGTTCGGCTACTCGGCGATAGATGGCGTTACTCTTACCGGCGTAACAATGTTATAGCGCTCGGGAAAGATTGTGGGGGGGGGAATTTATACTCGAACGTTTACATGGCAAAAAAGATCACTGGGGAGACACTGTGGATGAACGCAGCAGTTCTTGATAGTATGGATGAAGTCTGCTCCGGTGGTGGGATCTGCGATGCACGAGTGCATCTTCTTGGGTATAATTGCACAGCATAGTCTCACTTCTTAAAAGGAATTGAAACTTGTGACTGAGGGTCGTGTCGGTCATTATGCCATTACGTACGGTAGACGTCAGCATGTTCAAAAACATCTTCCGTGATGAAGGAGCGATGCAGTGCAATAAAAACTGAACGTGAATAAACTTTTGTAATAGACTGCTCCGGTGGACACCATCGTGCTATTTATTTTTACCCCAAAGATTTTATCCGTCGGAAGTTGAGACAGTCGTTATAACATATAGGCTGATACTTAAACTGCGAGTATCCGGCTCATTGGCGCCATTCACGTAGTGTTCTCTATGGATTATGGTAACTATTCAACATCAGCTTTTAAAGTCGTCATGGCCTTAAGGATAAGGCGCCCGGTGTATTCGTATCGAGCGATGCGACCGTACCGGTTCTGGAATCTTGTAGGCAGATAGCAATTTTTATGATAAAACACGTACTTAACTCTTGTTCACAAACGACTTACACGATGAAGGAATAAATTGGTGTTATAAAATCAAAGCCGCAAAAAATTGGAATGTGCGTAATTAGGATATTTCGGAAATTTGGCACTACTGCTCTACCTCCCCGGTCGAAGACCTAGAGGTAGATCCAAGACAAGGTGAAAGGATGTAGTGTTGAAGGACAAAAGGGAATGCAATGTTGCTGACGAGGATGTCGAAGATAGAGCGAAGTAGATGAGTAAAGTAAGGAAAGCTGATCCCTTCACCATGTGGGATAAATAGCTGGGAACAGTGAGAGGATACGATTGGGACATACATCTTAAGACTCAAGGTGGGCAGTATCCACGCTGTCGTGTCAATGGATACCGGTAACCACGTAGCTACAGGTGGACTGTGAGCTCTCTTATCTGTTTTAAGCGATAAAAAACCACCAACGAATGAAAAAAACATAATTTAAGTCCATTGCTTGTTCTTTAATTGCAAATAAAACTTATCGACCATAGGAGAATCTTCACCGAGTTTTTTAACTATGTTCACCAACTAACTTTTTTAGCTTAGAAGATACCTGTAAGTTTCCGCTCAATAGGGTTTCCTAGAAAAATAATACTACAATGTGGTACTGAAACCTCCGAAGCGAGAGATGAAGAATGTTTTCTTCGCAACGGCACTGTTGATTCATTTGTTCATAGCCCGATAAATTTGATTCGATTTTTGTGGAAAATTCGAGGCTTTCAGTTTAGTATTGATGTTCACGTAGAAAGCTTAAGTTCATTGAACCTGTTGTAATAAATTCTGTCGTACGCGTTACGTAATGTTTTGGATTGTTCGAGTCCTGCGCGGTGCGTGTCAAATTGCGCAATGTTGCTTATCGCGCAAAGATGTGTCGCGG